CATCATTATGATACTCATCATCTTCATCATTATCATCATCATCATTATCATCATCGTCAACTTCATCATCTTTATCATCAATAAATCACCATTACCTTTACCATCACCACCATCATCATCATCATTTCTCTTCTTCGCTTGTGATCATAAACGCTAGGTCCAGGAACAACAGACAGCAACAACATTTCTCCAGCCATTAACATCCTCCTCATCATCACCATCAATGAAAATCAATCAATATCGTCATCAAATCACAAAAGCCACACCATGAAATCCCCATTACCATCACAACTACCACTACTACCATCATCATCATCATCATCATCATCAACATCATCACCATCATCATCACCATCATCATCACCACCACCACCACCACCACCACCACCACCAGCACCACCACCATCACCACCACCACCACCACCATCACCATCACCATCACCATCACCATCACCATCACCACCACCACAATCATCATCACCACCACCAACACCATCACCACCAACACCATCACCATCACCACCATCATCAACACCATCACCACAATCATCATCATCACCACCACCAACACCATCACCACCAACACCATCACCATCACCACCATCACCACCACCACCATCACCATCACCGTCACCGTCACCGTCACTGTCACCGTCACCGTCACCATCACCATGAAAAGACTTCTCTCTCATTTATTATAATTATCAGGTTCTTGTACCTGTGTAGCCTCTTGGTGTTATTCTCATCATCGGCATGACAACAGACGATAGAGAAACCTGTTCAAATCCCATCTCCTTAGCCAGTTCACCAACTGCCTTCTCATGGGTTTCATAGCTGTTGATTGACAGTTGATAAGCGGGTGTACATCATTGATATAAATTGTATTCTATATAATATATTGCCAGTAGTTGCTTTATTCTTGACAATATTAACTCTGGCAGAACATTATCCAATGGCCAGCTGATATTTTAAGCCCTGTGTATATAATATTGAAGGACTGTTGTTGACAATAGAAGTTTGCACCACCACGTGATGGCAGCCATGTCATATGTCAGGAACAATACAGTCGTTTTACATGAGAAAGAATTTAATTCCCGCAAGCAAAGGGATCTTATTGTTCTGCCATCTAACCACAGGAAGCCCAAGCAGTATTATGGGATGGGCACGTGATGGTGCAAAATCTCTATAGACAGGAATGAAGGAATTTGATATGCGTCACTCAGGAAGCATATGACCAGAAGAGGCGAAAAAAGGATGAAAGATGTAGAGAGAGGAGGAGAAGAAAAATTGTTGTCTAAAGACTTTGTTGTGTTAATACCCATTTTTTTGGGTCTCCAAAGGGCATATGTATTTATATATCATATATATAATATGGTAAGTTATTGTCACTTACATGTAAGAGTGCATCAAGACTACAGCCAAACTTTTTATTCCCTTGTCCAAAACTCGCTGTGGAGGAAATCAAGCATAATTATTATGTTTATTAACACTTTTAGGGTCAATATCAGTACAATAAAACTGTGAGTAAAAACCATATCAGTGAAGTATTTCCATTGTTTTCTTTTGTGTCTATTTGACTATTACACGTTCACTAGTATTTTTTATTTCACAGGTTAAATGCCTTCCCTCTATAACATTACAATAAATTTACAGTAACATAAATATAATAGACATAACATGGACTTGGCATATAGATTAAGAATGGTAAATTTATTCCCTTCTTTAAAACTTCTTTATTATATGACCGTGAATCTTAGAGCCTGGACACTAGCAAATCGAGCAATCTGATTGGATCGATCGCATCGCAGACTGGTCTAGATTCTCCGGTATTAACCGGTCCGATTGCATATTAATCTTACGGTGAAAACATTTTGCTCTTTTCAATGAAAAGTGGTCATATAATAAAACTCTTATCAACTGAGYGGGAGGTCTGTACGGGATAATCTTGACCTCGGTCGGGTACAGACCTCGGTCAAGATTATCCCGTACAAACCTCCCGCTTGGTTAATAAGATCTAAATATTAAAATCAGCATCATTGCCACAAACAGATTTTATTAACACATTACCAACCACATTCACATATTGTCATCATCATCACTACTTAATTCACTAGCCCAACAAATCAAAAATCATTAATAGCATAAGTTAATCATATTAAATTAGCTTATTATAATTTTAATTTTAATAATATGTAACGCGCCAATATGTGTATGTGAATTGTGAATATCTAGTATTGATCATTCATAGTAAAAGCATCATAAATAGAATTAAAAATATTTTAAAAAAATCAAAAATCAATGTACCTTTAAATCCCTCTTAAGGGCTTCTTTATCGAGTTTTTGCCAGAGCTCAAGCTGGAATAAAAAAATTCATATTAAATCACAAAAAAGAATGAAAAGCTCCGATATCTTTGACAAAGAAATTTTTAATTTTCTGTGGAATCCATTATTATCATCACTTTAGTATGAAGTTATTCAAAATGTTATTGAAAACTGTGGGAATGAAATTACATTGTGATTGGCTGAGATCTTTATGCTAATGATTTTTCCCATTTCAGATCACGCAGTAATTTAATTAAGTGTATATAAATGTGAAATGTGCAATTCCAGAAAATATCCATACCCCTCCCTCACAGAGGAATTTTAATAAACACCCCCCCACCCCCGACCCCAGAAATTCCAATACTTATACTTATACACTCATATTTTACAACCACCACTCTCCATGCGGGGCTCTTCCGTGAGGTTCCCTCCACCTGCACTACCACTACATTCAATATTTACAACATACAACACTCAACTCACATGTTGCTTTTTTTTCCATACAAACTAGCTGTAATTTTGTTCTTTTTCTGACCCCCTCCTCCTACCCCTCAGTAATTCCAAATTCCTCTGTGGGAAGGGGGGGGGGGGGTAGGGGTATGGATAATTTCTGGAAATAAGCAATACCTTCAAATTTTCTCCTGTTGTTCCATGGATAATTTTGTGATCTTCGTTGAGCATGGAGTCTTCTTGTACTGGTACAACTCTTTCATCTACCTCAATCACCTCTTCATAAAGAACTTCAGGGCATATTACTTTCTGTAATTACAATATCAAAAGGCAAAGCAGATACAATATATACTGTATCCTCCTCACAGAAAAGAAAATTTCAATACAGGGTCTGGAAGGGTAGTCACAGGACCCGGGAAACAAATAAAATGTAGCACTATTTCCGGGAAACTATAAAAAACCTTACATGATGCAGGATACTCAGCATCGGTTGTGACTCGAGAATTACCGAATTTAATGTCAGGGATATTGGATTTTGTTGTTGATTTTTCTTTCTAATTTTCAGGAAAAACATTAATAAATAAATGAAAAATTCAAACGCCTTTTATTTGTTAAATTTGGTCATCCCTTGCAATAAAATGGTRCAGGAAGCTGGATTTCAGGAAAAAACTGCTTCAGAATTAGTCACATACTGCTGTGTTCTTTGATCAAAGACTCATTCATACTGGGTTAGCCTCATTTCAGTGTCTAAATATTCACAAATACCAGC